AACAGTTGTTGTACTGGATCTTGTGTGATTGTGCAAGTGGTCGTCATGTTGTGGGTGGTTAGTATAAATGTGCAATTTTAAGATGAATCCCATACCTCCGCTGGTGTAGACTTCAAGCTGACGGTTTATGTTACTTTTATCCACAAGGGAGTGGAGCACATTTAGAACACTGTGGACGTTCCAGATCTTTGGATTGTTTCTCAGGAACTCAATCTCGTCTTCTGGTTTCTTGGCTGTCTTACAGCGGTACTGACTGAATGACTGAAACTGAAAAGAAGGATGCGTGAAAAGTTATTGTGTTGCCTGCAAACACTAATCTGTTTCATCTTCCTCTTGTTGCATATTATTTCTCTCAGTATTTCTCTAATGAACAAAATAGATCATACCTGGTAGATAAATTCATCAATTATGTCCCAGAGCCATTGGTTTGGTAGTTCCAAGGGGGCAGGGCCATCAGCATCTGTTTGTAATAAACACAAAAGATCGACAAACGATTGGCATTCCTGTGATAAATAACGAAAGGAAGGCAAAACTCATTGTTAACACTTACTCAAAATGTAGTTGAAGAGGTTGCAGTAATTGTAGTACGATTCAAATCTCTGGTCCAAAGTGGGCCCACCCTAAACAGTATTCGAAAGGTAGGTTGACCAACACTGAAAGGTTTCACTGGTAGGCTAAGTTCCTGGAAAAGAAATGCATGCTTCGAATGTGGTGGTAACTTACGCTAACTTTAGCGTAGATGTGTCTGTAGTACAGTTCCTTATAGAGAATGAGGAAAACAGCATCTGTCAAAGATAAAATGTGACAGGTTAAAATCGGAGGAGTCATGCTACATTCGAAAGCGCTGGGAAATCAGAATACCTCAGGGAGTGTGCAAGGCATGACCAGCTTTCTAGTCCAAAGTAAACAAAAAACAGATGCCTGAACTGCATTTTACTAAACACTGTAACCTCAGCTGGAGGAAAAATGTGTTACATTACATTACTTAATTCTGTTATACATAGTATAGGTGTGTTTTCAGTGAAAATATTAAATTTTAAAGTTTTAAAATGTGTGAATGGCACAGACGCATAATCACTAATGTGTCACATGAACTAAAATTAGTTGAGACATAAAATTTGGAGCCAACCAATTTATACAGTAGTCACGAATTATCCATCCATTCATTTGCTATGATGCTCGTCCTCATATGGGTTATGGGTGAGCTGAAGCCTAGCCCAGCTCATTTTGGGTGACAATGGTTAGCAGTCAATGACAGGGCACGTCGAGACACACCCATGCTCACGTTCACACTTACTGACAATTGAGTCTTCAATTAAGCAAACATGCATATTTTGGAACATGGGAGGAAACAGGAGTAACCAAAGTAAATGATTGGTAATTTTCTAAGAAACTTTTATACACTAGGTCAGACAATTCTGACACCCTAGTTTATTGTAATACAGCATCACTCTCAAGGCAGTGACAAAAAAATGATATACTGTATATCTGGTATGTATGTCTTCATAAACACCAACTCACTCACCGTTGCCAACAAGTGATGAAATGGATTCAGCCTCTGGCCAAGGAGACGTCTTGAAGAAGCGGTCAGTCAGCTTGTTCCAACTTGAAAACAAGTGCATGAACAAATAGTTGGTACTTGGCAAGCATAACTGGGAGATGGCGTTTGGAAGAGCACTGCCACCTGTTTTCATAGACATCTTGGATCTCATAAATCTTCTGTTCAATATTCTCGCTGGACACACGGTTGGACTGCAGCTCGTAGACCTTCTGGTCGATCAAGTCTGAGATGGTTTTGTGGAAATATTGAAGGAAATTCTTGATCACCTCTGGGATAACGTGGTATGTCTGCTGCTCATACTGGCGCTCAAAAGCCATGTCTGCTTTTGGATCACCTGCAAACAGAGAGAAAGTGATCATTTAGGATTTCAACGCAAAGGCTGCTATAACACACACAAGGATCTGGATGCCAGTAAAGTAATGATGATAATGTTGACAAACCGGTGTGGAGGTCATATTCGTTTGAGTAGCCATCGTACTGAAAGTTAAGAAGAAACATGAGCAACATTCATTAGATGTCTACAACTGCATACGCCAGGCACGAACACCGCGGAACTATGAAACGAAGATCAGTATCAATCCAAACGAACGATCTCCTGCCAATACACGTTCTAAGATGCCAGAAAATAGAAGAATAGTCACATTGCTGCGTTATTTTGTCCAAAACAAGCCCCATGAGGTCTGTGAATATCTTGTCTACCACAGTTGCAACTAGCTAACCAGCTATAGCTTCAAGATATCGGATCGTATGTTAAAAAGACAAAACGTTCAGGAAAAAAATAGGTGTACTAACATCCTCGTCGTCGTGATACGACATGATTCCAGAGGTTACACAATGGATTGCTTTTTTTAATGAGGGAAATTTTGTAAAATAGGATCAGCTAGCTAACCCTGCTAAACCATGCAGCTGATGCTTGTGGAACGGCAGGAAGCGGAAAGAAAATGATGACGTTTCATTAAAATATCGCGAGATTTGGAAAGTAGTGATGGGAATTCCGGCTCTTTTTAGAGAGCCGGTTCTTTTGGCTCGGCTCACTAAAAAGAGCCGGCTCTTTCGGCTCCCAAATGGCTCCTCAGTTTTTTTGTTGCTTAAATTAGTTTACTCCCAAAAATAATGTAAAATTATGTGTAAAATGAATTACGAATGTAAAAAATATACAGTATATCAAATATTTATTATTTATATGGCTTTATATTCTTCTGAACATACTCAACATGGCGTACAACATGGAGTGCTACAAAAAAATAAATTACAAAGTACAAAAACAAAGACCCATCTCAAAACAAGGTCAACAAAAAGTTCCAATCTCTGATTGTGCATATTTATAAGTGTTTAAATATTTACAGTAAAACAACATAAGTAAGCTTTGATTACCACACAACAAATTACAAATTAAAATTTGGTATTGGATATTTTAACCTTGCCCAGTCTACACGCTGCCGTGGGGGGGGGTGGGGTCGGTGTCAGTCTGGAACAGAAAAATGGTGACCGCAAGAGTACGGAAATGTAAAAATGGATTGTTTTCCAGAAACCCACACAAAATGAAGCCGCCTCTTGACAGATGAGACTGACAGTCGTTTCTTTGCGCTGAAAGAAACAAAAACAAAAACATCATTTGTCCACTTTGGGTTAAATACCCTGCATTCTATTTTTCTCTTACCGAACCTTTTCGCCATGATCCCGTTCTCTGAGAGAGGGGCCGGTTTCGGATTTTTTTTTTCTGGCGTTGCCAGATAACGGCACAGAAAGATGCACCAAATGTCACCTTATTGTATCTGTGTTTATGAAATAGTTACTAATTAATAGTTAATAATGAAAACGGTTCAGAACTAAGGAACATTTTATTGCAAAAGCCCAACTTTATGATCAAAGACAAATCCACATCGATGAAAAATAAATCAAAATACTCTGTGGTATTGTCAGGGGGCCGGACCAAATGCGGAGGCGGGCCGGATCCGGCCC